TCGTCATTATCGAGGTTCCACGGTCATTCTACAAACTCGAGAAACTATGACTCCTCAATACGTTTCTAATCGACCTTGGAATGATATATATATATATATATATATATATATATATACGTGTGTGCATATGTATACACATGCGCATACATACGTCGTTGTCGAAGAAAGTTACACTAACGGAAAAGCTCGGACGCTATTTAATGAGCAGCTCGTAAGTGCTTTCAAGATATGGCCAAAGTTGCATGCCAACGATGCATTTATTTACTCCCTCGTAGCTTGGCGTCTATTATACGTACGAGATTCTATTATGTACAAGATATTTTGCCTTATTGTTTATTTTCCTTTTCTATCCATCTCAATGTATTTTTCTCCTCTTTCGATTAGAATTCATATGCTAGCTGCGCTTGCGATAAAAACACCGCCATTTGAATTTTAGTAATTATCACTTTACGCAAGATGTATATATATATATATTTATATTTATAAACTAATGATAGAGTATTTAATTTTTCATTTACGCGAAGCATTATTTACACAAGACGTCAGATTTGTAAAGCTAGCGGCAAATAATGTACATTGCGCTTCAAGATATTGGCTCGACTAATTAAACACACACACACACAAAGATGTTTATCATCGGCATTGTTAAGGTAGCAAAGTCTCCACGATTTTTTCCTAAATCCTACTTGAGTAGCGTACTTTTGCCCAATCGTAACCATCTCCATCATATTTGACACCGAAAGCCCATTAAAAATTCCAAAGTCATGAGAAAAGCGTAGATATGCAATGGAATAAAACAATCCTAATCCCATCAAAGCGTCATTGCGAACTCTCGCGACCTCGTGCGCCGACGTTCGACTCAATTAGTATTCCGCGTGTTCCCGACTCGACTCGCGGCCAATTTATCTTCTCCGTGCGCCGCTCGCGACGAATATCCATACGGAATATCGCGTGCAGTGCGCGCGGTATTTACCGTCGAGACCGGTCCTTGAAATATTCATTAAATATGAAAGTCGGCGCGCGCGCGCGCGCGCGCCCACGCACAGCCTCTCGATGGTCCCTGTATTGTTCTACCCTGTGTGACTTACACTTGCATAAGCGCGCCCTTTCGGCTCACAGATGTTGTCCGCGCGCGTCGGCCCCTCGAGACGATTGAACGAGGTGGTATCGATAGGTGGTATCGAGGTGGCCCCGTCCGAATCTCGTTTCCGATAATCTTCCTGATTTACCTAATTTGGACGTTCGATAAATTTCGGAATTTTCGGAGTGCTGGGGGTTTGTCTGGATTCTTGCTTTTCCACATTTTCATATTGTCTTTGGCTCTGATCTTTTCCGCGTATCCTTTTACATTTGGTAGGACGTCCTTCGATTGATTGGCCATTTGATTCATTAAGCATTTTTTCAAAATAAAAGCCTGTAAGTGTTATGAAAAATTATTGATAGACAGAAATTAATGAAATTTTTGTTCTACGTATATGAAGTTGTGGAATATTGAATTTTTGTATTTCGAACGGCGTACATTGCGATATAAATTATAAATTTCAAATGGCTGATTTTTCAATTATTCATATTAAAATACGCGACATCATTATCATTCATAATATTACTTCGGAAAACGAGTGACAATTAATTTCAGCAAATACGCGATTCTTTTAATATTCGATTTTCATTTATACGATACATTGTATTATCCATTTTACTAAATTTATAAATTTACGCCAATAATTGGTAATAAGAATAATGTTCACTGAAAATTGCCCATCCTCATTAGAGCTCTAATTTCGAAATTTATAATAAAAGTCTCAAGAAAAATCTTATTTACTTTAGGATAACTAAGTATCACCGTGAATTATCTTCTTCTGGCTTTAAATAATCGGATAAAAGTTTACTGGCTCTTCGACTTTACACGCAAGAGGCACGCACGCGCGTAACTTCTTTGTTTGATTAGCAACTTTTCTCTTACATTCTACTCTGTGGTTAATATGTATTTTGTTAATTTTTCCTTCCATTCGTTTAAAACTTGGGGATAAAGGAATGAGCTTGCATAGTGAAAAAGGAACAAAAAAAAAATAAAATAAAATAATAATAATAAAAAAGTAGAAATTAATAAAAACCTAGACGATTTTAAATATTCATGATGTAGCCAGAAAAAATGTCGCCATAATAATCGACTTTCGGTCATGCCTTTACAGAGTGTTACTTTTTCAATTTGTATTTTAATTTATTATCTAGCTACATAGTTTTTTTATATGTTTTTTTTTTGTTTTCATTTACACGAAGATCTTAGATATTCATAGTCTGGTAATGTAATTTCGAGTTTTACAAGATCATAGCAAAAAACACTTAATAATAGAGTAGTAACATTTGATATTAACATTTGATCTGTATATAATAATAACAAACAGTAAATTAACGGCGATTAATAATAGTTAATGAATACTTATATCATAATGAATTAATGTAATTAGACAAAATCGTACACTACGATATATTAAAAAAAAAAAAAAATTTTTTTTACAAACACTCAAAGGAATAAAATAGAAAAAGGAATTTTCGATTATGTTATTAAAATGTTCTTATCATTCACAATGAATTGACAAGACACTTTCTTTATTGCAATAAACATCTCGTTTTACATATATAATATTAATTATATTTTCTCATATACAAGAGAATTATACCAGATAATATGCAACTTCAAAGGAAATTATTATTTTAAAGTGTATGATCGATTGATTGTTGATTCTTTTTAAAAATATATTAATAAATATAAATTAGTTTACTAATAATAAGTAATTAATCGTTTGTAATAATTAAATAGCAAATTTTTGACCATAGAAATTTCATTTCATGTAAAACCGAGTGTTTTATAAGCGAGAGTTACGGAAGAAAATAAGCGAGAAAAAAAATTTTTCCTAAAATATACGTTTCATTTATTAATAGTTATTAATCTTTAATTATAGTTATGGAAGTATGGAAAAATTTTAAATATATGTTTATAAGAATGAATCGTTAAAATTATAATAAGAAATCTTGTAGATTATAATGCTCATGCGTGTTATGAAAAGTGGATGGATTATTGTTAGATTTGTATGTGAAAAACAATAATTAGCATTAAGAATAAAATCTGAAAGTAATTCTTACTTTTCTATAGTAATCATACAATAAATAGAATTTGAGTCTAAAATTGATGAACTCGATACCGTCGCCTACTCTTGTATGTCTTTACAAATATAAATAATCGAAGAGATCCTCGGTATGATTTCACGTAAATTCATTCACATACGTCTATATGTGTACATCGCAATTACATTACACATTCAGATATAATCGGCGTATAAAAAAGATTCATACACTAATTCCACAACAACGACCTCATTTCCATCTTATTGCAATTCTCAATCAATGCTGATTTATACAATTATATGTCCTGGTATGTGTGTACAAGCTTTACGTCTATTAGCCGCAGTTTACAGGAGCGTAAATTTAACGATCATTGCGGCAACCATATGCATCGTGTTTCCATCTCCCTTTGTCTTTGTCATTTTATCTTGGGGTCGTTGATATTGTAATTAATTATCGCTATTGTCGCTAATTTGTCGTGGAAGAATAAAAAAACATCGAACAAATTCACTTGTAATTGCACAATTGAACGTCCGATAAACTGTAAAATACACGTTCGGCAAACAACTTTCTTCTGGGACTTTAATTTTTCAATTCCAGTGTGTTATATGCCACAGCAGTAAAATATGTAAGCGCGATCATTGATATATGCGCTCTATAATTTGTGCCCATATTCTACAGGATAGGACTGCAAAAAAAAAAAAAAAAAAATGAAAAGAGAGAATTTGAATGACTGCGTTAAAAGGTGGATTTACCAGAAAATTCCCCTAAATCATATATACACATTTCAATACCATCTGTGACTAATTTTAACGAACACCTATTTTATATTTGAGTGAAAAATATATTTTTATCCCATTTCGGTAGAACCATCTTGCCGATATAATTAACATTACTAAGGTAATTGAGTGATTTTAACGAATTAACAAATCGTATAAATTATTAATTCGTATAATTAATTAATAATAATGCTTTTATTTGGAAGTAATGGAGAAAAAAATATTATCAGTTATTATTAGACTACAATTTTAATATTATTACGTTAATAACAATACAATATTTTTACGTTCTTTCATAATAAAATGAGTAATGAACAATAGATTGTTAAATATAAATACGAAATGACTGTTTATTGGAAAAATAAATGATTAATATTCCTATATACGAAGCTTATTTTGTAAATACTTTGCAATTTCATTAAATTCATTGCACTTACTTTCTTTTATTTTTTTCGATTTAATGCAGTATTTTCATTTACAATTATAGTTAAGTAATTGAAAATTACGATGAATCTTTATTGTATAAAAAAAAACGCGCGCGCGCACACACACGCACGCACGCACACACGCGCACACACAGGATCAGTGAATAAGAGCGGGGGAGAGAGGGAGGGATAGAGAGAGAGAGAGAGAGAGAGAGAGAGACGGAGAGAGAGACAAAGAGGGTGATGGAAACGTAGCAGTACGAAAAGGCATAATTCAGCATCGATTGAGAAAAGCTATCCTTACTCTCTTTCCTTGCTTGTATGTAGTTCGGATCGTCGAAATATCGCGCTGACGCTTAATAATTTTACACTTCCTTTCTATATATATCATTAAACCATTCATCCTTTCACTTGCAAACTATCCATACAGAACATTTCCACACAGACGTACACATACTTTATATATACTTTGCCAGGCGCACTTTTTCCACAAATCTTTTACCATTTATCGTATGCCGTCACACTAGTGCGCTTCCTCTCCATTTACACGCACATACGCAAAGTCTGTACGCAAGTTTATACGTTTATAAATATACGCGCCCGTTCGTGTGTTTGCCTTTCTCTCTTTCTGCGCTGTCGACCTCGCTGTGCGTGCGTGTGTGTGCGCGTGTGCGTGCGTGCGCGCGCGCCAAGTAGCGAGACTGCGGCTGAATAATTTTCTCCTGCTTGGCGTCTCTTAGCCATAGCCGGTACTCCTGATTCCAGTGCCGTTAGCCTCTCAGGGGAACAATGAAGTGTGGTGACTATGTGCCGGCTAGGTCGCCAAATTCTGCAACACACAAGGAGTAAAAATGCGTTAAATGTTTTGTAGCGTAAAAAGTAAAAAGTTGAAAGAGTGGACGAATGGAATTTTACAGAGTATTTTTCAGTTCGGAAGCGAGGAGCATTGTTCAACAGCAAAGAAGAGAAAATGAGATAAAACAAATCAGCTGTACTTGTCGTTTTCTAGAAAAAGTAGAAAAGGGAAGAGACAGAGACAGAGAGAGAGAGAGAGAGAGAGAGAGAGAGATAGACAGAGAGTGAGTGACTGAGTGAGTGAGTGAGTGAGTGAGTGATGGAGAGAGCGAGATAATGGTATAGAGAACGACAGAGTGAGTTAACCGCCCAAATTCCCATCAATGGACGATCTGTGTAGTACAGTGGATCTATAGTCAGTTTGAAAAGGTTTAGGCATTTCGGGACTTCTCCTCCGTCCCGAATTCCAATGAACGGTTAAGGAAAGTATTACAATTACGCATTGTGAAGCCTTTGCTTGTAAAAAACAATTATTGACACTTGCCATTACGCTAGTTTTGGAAAATAGCAATATAACGTTGTAAATTGCAATTTATCATAAATTATTTGAAAGTAAGACTATTCATTCGGACAAAGTAATAAATGCTCCATTGTAAAATTGTTATTATTAGCCTTTATTTATTCATTATTAATATATTTACGCAACTACTATATTATTACGCTACTGAATTATATTGATTAAAGGCATTCTTACGTAAGGAAATTATTACAATGTAATGCTTAGTAATTAAAAATGTGCTATTTTTATGTACAAAGCCATTAATCTTACGTAATCAATTTTTAATCTCGTAATTTTTATTTGCATTAAAATTCTTTATTCTATCTAATTTTATAAAGGTAAGATAACTTAAAGATAAGAAAACTTAAAATAAAATGATTAATATTATAATAAATATACTGTTTATAATTATCTAATTAGTAAGTAATCGTAGAATACTAAATAGTAAAGAATAATAGTAATTAATAAAGGTAATTAAAACTATCGTTCAATAATAAAAATATCTGTTTTGAATTGTCTTCTTGTGAATTTTACTTCATGCACACGTCGGCTTGTGTGCGTGTGTGTACGAATGATTATTTAAAATTGTATATATAAATGAATCTATAAAACTGATAATCCTTAAATTTTTTTATTCAATGTTACTATTCAGTCACTCGTTTTTCTTATTTTTTCTAGTAAATAATTTTAATATCCAACATTTATACATAAAGTGAAAGAATGAGAAAACGAGAGGACGTTGATCCAGTGACAAATGAACATCTCGATGTCGTGCTCTCTCATAATGTTTTATTTTTTACTCATCGATGTGAAATTTATACTCTGAATGCTTCATGCTCATATATTTCTGCCCCAATGGAATATAAATTAAGATTCAAATATAGAAACGAATATGCAAAGCTTATTCATTTCTTTCTTTAATTATTTTTCATTAATTCGTTTTTTCTTTCGAAATTGATGAAAGGAAATGTATCACAGTATGAATTAAATCTAATACCCAATTAATTGACACATGCATCTATATGTATAGTACATACATATATATATATATAGTTATATATATATATATATAAACATATATATATAGATATACATACATATAGACATTATTATACTAAAGTATTATTCAAATTTAATTTTTTTTTTCTTTTTTTTTTTTTAACCTTTAGGCATATATAATATTAGGTAGAATATAAAATACATCGATACATTCTATTCAAATACTAAATTATTATAACAGTGTTATGTGTGATTAAGAATTTTATATTTATGATTGATATTCTCGTTATTGTTAAAATAAAATATCACTGCAATATTTCAATATGTTTTATTACAATTTATTACAATTTATTGCAGAGCTTTATAGTGTAGTTAAAATTAATAGTTAATTTATATCATGATATTTTAAATATGATTTATTATAAAAATTAATTCGAGTCTGAGATATCGATAGAAGTTTTAAAAATGATTGGTTGAGAATTTTATATTTTCAATATTTTATATTAATATCAATTATATATCAATCATAATATTTTAAAATGTTATATTTTATTACAATACATTTACTTAAAAACATTTAATACGCACTCTAGAAATTCATCATACTGTAAATTTATTTTTAGGAGAAAACACAAAAATTGAATACAATATTAACAATTGGCTTAACATACGTTTGAAAACCTTTGTGAAAAATTATAAAAATTATTTCTATCTACATGTTGAATTTGATTTTCCGAAAAAAAAAAAAAAAAAAGTAACATTAAGCTATAACTTGGATTATTATTATTGGTGCGATACTTCCTTTTTTTTTATAAAGCTAATGATCTACGATATCAAATACATTTTTAGTTGAAGTACAATAGCATTCAATTCTTTGTTTTAAACTTATTAGCTCAAACTTCAATAATTCGCATAATTATTGGCCGATAAAGTCATAGATATTAGATAAATTCATAGATCATAGATAAATTCATAGATACTAGACCGCGGAAAATAAAAGCTATTCACAATTAGATTGAAATTTTAATTTTATACTTCGGAAAATACAGCTAGACATAGGCTAGGTGATCTATCATTGTAGCATTTCCAACTTAGACTTTTAAGAATGACTGACAGAAATTGTACTTTTATGAATGACTGTAGGCAATCAGCTGGTAATTGGAAAATGATTAGAGGTGTCTCGATGGATTCTACAGCTCGACTAGGCCACCCACGTATAGCACAACATTCTCAACCCATACAACTCACAAGCTCGGTTATAAATGCCGCCATAAATGCCAAAATGGACACATGTGCCGTTGTACTGGGGAATTCATGATATAGATGTTCAGCCGCATTAATGCGCACGCATCGGGTCTGCTCTTCTTCATCCCTTTCCTACCTTTTCCCCATTTCTTCGCGTGTGTGGGAGATTCAGATGCGCGCGCGAGAGAGGCAAATATAGTCGAAGTCCATAGATTTAGAGTGCTGAAGGAAAGTGACATAAGACACGTCGCATATGTCGCTATGTTTCCAGGAAAGTCTTCAAAGGATTTAAGACGATTTTACAGCATTTGTCAATGGTGACAAATATTGAGTGTTGCAAAGCATATTGGCGATATGCTTTAAGGACTAATAAAGATTAAATTTTTTCAAATAAAATAAAGGAAACTTTTATGTTAGAAAATGTATTTTATCTGTGAGTGCTAAAGTTATATCGGAAGCCCAAATGAATAATAAATCACTGCAGATATTTACAAATATTGTGCGTTTAAAATACAATACAATACAAACTAGATTATTATTATACATAGTCTTTATTTAATTTATTCATATATTGCAATTAATGAAAAACATATTTTTAAAATTTGCGGAAATTGTCAGCGTTTGTGAGACAATGTTATCACAATTTGCAACTATATTAATTTGATTTTCATATATTTTTCAAGCTATATTCATTTATATAGCTTGGTAATTTCAAATAAATTTTTTAACATAATTTATTTACGGCCAAGTAACAATTAACGAAAATTTAAATATTAAGAAGCTTCTGACCTCGTGAGAAAATATAATTATAATGTAAATTTCTAATACAACTTATACTACATAGGAATCATTAATTCGAAATTTATTAGCATATCGCATGTCGTTATGTTATTGGAATAACTTAATTGTTACGCCATTAAGAACTATTAAAATTCAGCTTGTAAAGCGTGGACATGACACTGGTTACAACAGCACAGAGTAGAAATCTAGAAACCAATTTTCATTAGCAAACTATAAAATAGTTCTTCGTCCGATTTGCAACAGTTCAGCTTCGATCAAGACTTAGCCGATTAGTTTTTATATTACTTTAGTTGACGTTGCCTAGGAAATGATATGGAGAAAATTAAACGGAATTGAAATAATCGATAGACGTACTTTTATGTTGCATTTCTTGAATATAATGGATAAACAATTACTAAGAAGCACTTTTGGAATTTACTGATGCACTTAACATAAATCAATTTCCAATGTACCAATATTTTCAAACTATATTCCAAAATATTTATGGATGCGTACATAAATGAACATTTATGATGTACAATTGCAAGGTTTTGACAGGAGATGCTCGGCATCGACTTGACTACAAATTATATTGAAAATGCATATATTTTATTTATTTAATTAGTTTTTTTTTTTTTTTTTTTTTTTTTTTTTTTTTTTTAATGGCGGATCCTTTGATAGCTCCATATATTGCCGAAATTCTCATTTACGTACATCCTGTTCGATCTATAATTTTATTAATATACTTTTTTTATCTCGCTATCACGTGGTATTGCTCGATCTCACTGTGCTCTCCTGCATGGGACGTTCATTAGCTGTTAATGACGTTCCTTAATCCTTTTTCAGGCGAAAACAGATTGCTTTTATTTGATGAGTTCGAGGGAAAGATCTTCTTTTATCGTGTCTTTCTTTTTCCTTCATCTTGGATTCGCAAATCAACGCGAGCTAAGATAAGCGCTTGGGTCAACTTACCTCGCAAAGATCTTTTGTTATCTAAGGTCAACGTTGATCCCTGCTTATCATAATTTTTTAAATCAGATAAATGAGAAAATAATAGGATAGGTTATTTTACAATGTTAGGACGAGCTTTACAAAGAAAATTAACTTAAAAATGGAAAATTTAATTAAGAGATAATGCCAGAATTTCGTCTTATAAGCTTATTAGCTTTAAATAATTATTAGCTTTAAAAAATGGACTTTCCGAAAAATAACACTTTCTTAGAGACTTTCTTACATTAAATCGTTTACAATGCGCGACTAACACATTTCCTCTTTATTTCTCATCAGAAATAACATTTATGTAATATTTTGTATTTATAAATAAATCAAGCGTTTAAAAAAACAATGCTAAGACATGAGAAAAATTATGTCTTAAAGTGCACAAATAATTTCCGAGAGTAAGAAAAATTACAGTAAATACGTAAACGAGTAGTTAAATTATCATTTACATT